AGAGTTAGCCTTCAAGAGAAGGGAAGTGGGAGCTCTGGAGTGGGAGCCAGTATCCTCCTAACCTAGCTACGGATTTAGGGACTAAACCTAAGATTAGCCAATGATTTTCTATAATACTGAATCAGGGTAAAGAATTAAAATTGCTCCTATTTGACACAATACAAATTTAAACCATTTATCTCATCTCATTTCACCAAAAAGCTCATTGTAGTGGGAAATATGCTTTTTTCATATTAGAAAACTCCATCACATAAACATAGTTTAGTAGTTACTATTTTGAACTCTACATTTAAATTCTGCTAATAGTTAATAATTTAGCTATGATAGTATCTTAAACATTCAAAATTAGTGACAGTAATTTCATTTTACTTCTGTGAATGTCCTAGTTAATTTATCATTTCAAATTTAAACCTTCCTCATGGGATCAATATTTGAGACTTAAATAAAAAGTTTTATATTACTTGATAATGATACGTATACTTGCGTAGAATACCAACATGATGTACTTAACATTATTATTCATAAAATATGTAAAGTGGAATCAACATAAATTTTACACACCAACATGATGTGCTTAACATTATTATTCATAAAATATGTAAAGTGGAATCAACATAAATTTTACACAACTATATTTCTGTTGGTCACTCGTACTAGTCGATTATCAAAATCGTATGATGGTCCAGATGCAGGTTGAAGTTTTTCCCTTGTTAGTCCCAAACTAAGGAAAGTGGAGTAAAACAAAACATCAACAGAACTCCCATTGTCGATCAGGATTCTTTTTACATTCTAGCAGGGTTTGTCAATTCCTGCACTAATGACAAGAGGATCTTGATGAGGTACTCAGACTCCTTCTAAATCATTAAAAGTGATAGGTTCAAGACGTAATTTCTTCTGTGTTGATTCACCAGGTGTAGTGATAAGAACTTGATCAGTTGGCAACGGACCTCCTCCAATTTTTTGAATTTCACCTACGACTGGGTGACCCCCATGTTGTTGCCTTTGTGATTGTTGCCCCCCAGCAACAACATTATCATTCCCAGCTATTTTGTTATGAATAAATCGACCAAGATATCCCTGCTGAATCAACCTTTTAATTTCTTCCCTAAGGAGTTTACATGCCTCAATGGTGTGTCCACGACTTCGATGAAAATGACAGTATTGTTCTTGATTTTTCGAGTTAGGTTTTAAGGGGTGAGACCACTTAACAGCTTACTCATCCTTGATGGTCATCAAGATGTTTGCACGTGACGTGTTGAGTGTTGTATACTCTTTCTTAGGTCGATATTCAGTTCGTTGACCCGCAGGTTGAGAGAGGAGGTTAAATTCTTCGGTTGTTTAGACTTTCTCCGTTGTGAAAAGTGATTAATGTCTCTGGAGTTACTTTTGCGCTTTCCCCCAATACTGATAGCCTCTTCTGCAGTGATTTGAGCCTCAACATGGTGGACAAGATCAACATAAGAACAAAATGTCTCCTGCATCAGTGATGAGTAGAAGGGTCCTAGGAGGAGCCCCCCAAGGAAAACCCCCCTAAATAACTCTGGAAGGAGCCCCCCAAGGAAAACCCCCTTAAATAACTCTGGATCTACTCCTGGAATTTGACAGGCTTTAGCAGAAAAACTGTGGAAGTAGTCTTTAAGTGACTCTCCTTTACTTTGACGAATTCCTTAGAGATGGGATGAATCCTTGATGATTCGTCGATTTTCTATGAACTGCTCCACAAATAGTTTGGCAAGCTTGTTGAAGGTGTTTACAGTGCCCCCGAGCAAAGAGTAGAACCAGGTTTGAGTTTCTCTCTTAAGAGTGGCTGGGAACACCTGACATAGAAGCGCTTCAGAGACACGTTGAATGTGCATGATGGTTCAATAATGATTAATATGTTCATAAGGGTTAGTTATCCCTTTATATGCGTCAATGCTCGACAGCTTGAAGCCTGTTAGGATAGGGTGTTGAATATATGCGTCAATGGTCGACAGCTTGAAGCCTGTTAGGATAGGGTGTTGAAGGACCTCGTTCACTAAGGGAGAGGATTCAAGGATGTTAGGGTGAGTGTGGAAGCGATCTTTTTTCTCTAGGGAAACTCTTCTCAGACGAGGCGACGTAGTTTGTTACGGATGACATCATCTGGAACGGTAGCATGACGTGGTGGTGCTAGGGGAGCTGCATGAGATGGATGAATGGAACTTGCGGTTTCTAGGAGTTCAACATCACGTCTTGGCAAGGGAATTGTTCCCTCTTGAGCAGGGACGATATGAGTTCCTCCGGGCAGTATGTTTCTCGTAGGTTGTGAATTCAATGGTAAATGAGTTTCAGTCATTAGTGTGGACAGTGGCTGTTGGATCCCTCGCAGGAATTGTATGATCTCCAGTTGAGACTCCTCCATTCTACGTATTCGTTCTTCCATAGGACCCGTTATCGTCTTCCAGGGCGGGAGATAAAGAAGCATGTCGTCCTTGGCTTCGTGACTGCTCCTTGGAACGATGAGTGTTGGAGCGAGATGCTTCATTGTCACGAACATTGTGTCTGGTGGCCATGTAGTAGATTGCGTAAGTACTTTAGTTGTGAGATTGAAAATTTCCCACAGACAGTGTCAAACTGATGCGTGCTAGAAAATTCACAGCGGTAGAGTAATAAATTATCGTCTTAGCATTGTACGAAAGTTCAGCACACACACAAATGAAATAGAAAAAAATGGTGATAACTCCAGAAATTTTTACGTGGGAAACCCGTTAGGGAAAAATCACGGGGTCAGACCCAGTTGCGGAAATTCACTATTAATTGATGATTACAGAAATCTCTTGTCCCACAAACGAGAAAGGGTAACTGTATTTTTTAGATTACAATGTCGACTCACGGGGTCTGGTCGCGGTGGTGATCGATGACGGTCGGCGGTGGTCGTCTGAGGTCGACGGGGGTCTGGCAGCGGTCGACGGAGGTCTGCGGTGGTCTACAGCGACCGGCGGTGATCGACGGCGACTGGCGGTGGTCGACGACTGAGGTCGGTGATGATCGACGACGATTGGTGGTGATACTGAGCAGCTTCTCCTCATGACCTTAGGCTCTCTCTAGACTTCCTCCCCCCCTCATGAGATGGATGGGGCTCTATTTATAGTGTTCTGGATGCAATTAATGCATGAATATGAAATATTTTGATCGGACGGTCCGGAGAGCTTCCCTCGATCATAAGACGTTTAATGGACATTTGAGTGTCTTAATGATGTCAGAATTGAGTGATCTTGGGCTCGTTGGATTCGTCTTGTCGAGCCGCTCGATTTGAATATAAAATTGTCATATTTGACAGCGTTTGACTTTTCAAATGTCTTCATAAATCTTATAATTATGGTTTAATGACTTGATTTAACTTGAATTAAGCTAGTTTTCATATCATTAGATCTGTCTCATTCAGCAGGTCAGTTTGACTATAAATTTGCTGAAATCAGAGCTTTTGATGATTTTTTATCAAGATTTGAGTATTTCTTGCTTAAAATATCATCTCGAAATTCATGTCATTCCTCAAGATTCGTGTTTGATGATGAAAACTTTTATCAAGATTTAATTTGGTTTAAAAAATATCAATTTTTTTATAATTGTTCCAAATGTCTTGTGAATTAATTTCCATAAAAATTTCACCCATTTTATTTGTGTTCTTTTTCAACCCAAAAATTGAAAAATTAAATCATAGTCTGATTTCTATGTAGCTTGCAATTTTGGTTTTTCCACTTTCTAATAATACCCTAAACCCTAAAAAAATTAAAAAATATCATTAAAATCTACATATATAAACTTTCGGATGTTGATCATCATTTCAAATTAAATTTTGAATTTTTTTGCACGTCTACATGTAATATAATTACAAGAGTTGGCAAATTTTGTCCAGATTTGATGATATTTCTCACTCAATTACCCTATCAAATTCTTTCTAAACACCCTCATTCATGTCATGCCATATCATTCATATTTTCATTTTGAACAATTTGGTAGAATTTCACATGAAGATTTCCCCGAACATATCAATTTGATTTTATAAAAACATTTTCATAACACATATTATTTTATTTACTTGTCATAAAAGCTAAAATGCTATTTTTGTATTTATTTAATTGTTTATTTTTATAAATTTATAAAATTATTTATTACTAATTTCATATAAAAAAATTAAATGTATATTTGAACTTCTAGTTTATTTATTAAAAAAAAAAAAAGGCATAAATCAATTTTTAGTTTTATAGGAAAATTTAAGTATTAATTTCAATTTTCATTTCATTCAATTAAAATAGAAATAAGATTATAAAACAAGTATCATCATTAGAAAAGTCAAGTATGGCATATTTGAGAGCTCATCTTAAGCTAGAACTGAACAGGAACATCTTAAGATTAGATCAAGCCAAGTCTACTCTATCACACTCGATTCGATTCGGCTCAATTACAACCCTACTCTTGATCATATTTAATTGTAGTTCTCTTTTTTTTTTAACCTATAGATTTTTTATGACAATATAATTTTCACAATCATATAATCATGTACATTTAAGATAGGACACAACATGCATGACCAAAACCGAGCAGCCTTCTCCAAGCCGGGAACCTCAGCATATAATACTAAAAATAATACAAAAATAATACATGGTCACATAATTAAACCCTTAGTCGATATAGTTTAATAACCTTGAACATATAAATATAGAGAAGTCTACAATAATCCCATAATTACTTATATACCCCAATTTGGCATCAAAACATCACATTTTCCACGATTCAGCTCTTCAATATGAAACTATATTGCGCTTTTGAATCATATAAAAGCTTAACATACTAAACAACATAAGGAACATTTACGTACATACCATTAAATTCCTATGTACTAAATATCTAACACCTAAATTTCAATTTTTTATAATTATAAATGAAAAAAAATGTAAAATTTTGGTGTTAGATTTGTAAATACATAAGAATCGGATGATATGTATATAAATGCCCCTAAACCAAAACCATACCTTCAAAGGCCAAGCTCTTGCTGAATCTCCCATAGTGTATCAGCAGATTTCGAAAGCCGCACAGCCTCCTCTTCGGTAAGATGAACGGAAGTAACTCCGATGACGCCGGACCTCCCGAGCAGAACCGGGAGGCTGAGAAAAACATCCCGACCTGCCGGAACGCCCGCGAGGAGGTCGCGGGTGAGGATGGAGACGGGGTGGATGCGGTGCTGGTCGCGGAGGATGGAGCGGGCGAGGCTGGCGACGGGGGAGCCAAGAAGTGTAGCCTTTGAGGCGGATCACTTCGTAGGCACTGTTGACGACGGCCTGGCGAATGCGCTCCAGAACTTCTTGCTCATAAGCGATCTGCTGTTTTTCGAGCGAGGAGAGGAGAGAGATGCCGCCGACGGTTATGCCGGACCATAGCGCGACGGAGCTGTCGCCATGCTCTCCGACCATGTAGGCCTGAATATATGAGTTTTGAATGCATGTTTCAGTTGCCAGTTTGACATGATGCACAATAATGTTAAGTGGGATTTACATTCATAATTCTAATGTATTTATGTATATAACAGCAAAAACATTCACGTTTAAGTGCACATAATTCAAATCTCTAATATCACATCAGAAATACTTTAATCATGCATAACTCCATGACACCACAAAATTATAAATATAAATATCTAACTTTCGATGTTAATATATAAATGCATAAGAAATGTGTAGTATATATATAAATTTCTCTAGCTTTCAATGTAGTAATGTAGATAATTTGATAAGTTATTAAGTATACATGGAAGGTTTTCATGCATGCCACTTAATTTGGATGTATTTACATATCTAACACCTAAAATTCAATCTTTACATTATATGTAACCTTATGAAAAGGATGTATTCAATTTTTTTATATAATTCAATTTTTTGCAGTCCTACTTATTATCATATCCTAATAAATATTTTATTAGGATATTTGAATATATTTTATATTAGAATAAGACAAAATTTATTGCATATGTTCATAAAATCATGTGAAAATATGGTCTCTCATTATTTTATGCAGTCCTACTTATTATCATATGTTTTTCTACTATATTTGTAGTTATGATTGTGTAATAATTTAATTATATTAATTAATAATTTAGCTGCATTTATCTTTTTAGATATTTTACATAAATAGGGGTTAGAAAAAAAATCTTCTAAAAATTTTACTCTCATCATAATAATGTTTCCCAATATCTAATAATTTAGCTATATTACCTAACTATATTGTTGTAATTCTTTTAATTATAATTATATCATCAAATAATTTAATGGAAGTAACATATAGTGTGTGCAACCATCAATAATGTAAGAAATACAGAAAATATTATTATGAAAATAGAAAAATAATGCAAATTTTTTTTAAAATTAGTTTTTAAAGGCCAAATTACACCCTTTTTTAAAAATGTATTAAATTTTTTAAAGTATTAAATAACTGGTATGTGCATGAGCAAATATATATGAAGCACTGCACACATACCACTCAATTCCTAAATATTTACATATCCAATATGTGAAATTTACAGTCTACATGTCTATCACCCTAAATTTTCGAATCACATAAAAAATTTTAACTATTTTGATTTTAAGAAATGAAGTAATGTTTTCATGAATTGAATTATAGACGTTAGATATGTAAATACATAGAAATTAACAGGTATATATATAAAGTGCAAACATTCCAAAATAAATAAGCAAGCTTTCAAAAATGGAATTTTTTTAAAATTCAGAATAAGTTGAGAAAAACAAAATCACGAGAAAAATTTGCGTTCCTAGACGTACGCAGAGCTACGTACGTTAGGTAGATCACAGATAGGTTATTAGGGGTTATATCAGCGCTATACCTCTATAACCTACCTGAAACTTAACTAGTAAGTTTCAAGCTCATATTTTTCATGTATTTGTAAGTTCCAGAGAAGTTACATGAGGTATAATATGGATATAGCCTCCAATATCTTTCCTATAACTTAGTGACGGAATTAAAAATATTATAGAATTGGTTTTGACCTGGACATCCTGAGCATTGACCTCCAAATGCTCCGCGAGGAGGAAGCGAAAGCGTGATGAATCGAGATTAGTCCCGGAGCCAATAACCCTATTAGATGGAAAACCAGAGAGCTTCCAAGCAATGTAAGTGAGCAAATCGACCGGATTGGAGACGACAAGTATGATGCACTCCGGCGAGTACTTCGCTAGCGGCGGAATGATCTCCCGGAATAGCGCTAAGTTACGCTGAACCAGATCAAGGCGGGACTCGCCGACGATCTGGCGAGCGCCGGCAGGAACGATGCGGAGATAGGAGAGTGACCGCATAATCAGTAGAGGCTTCGATGTGTGTGCGGGGAAGGAAGGCGGCGGCGTGCTGCAAGTCAAGCATCTCGCCACGGAGCTTTTCGGGCTTCGCGTCAACGAGGGAGAGATCGTCGGCGAGGTCTTGGGTAAGGATCGTCTGCGCGATCGCCATCCCAACGTTGCCGGCGCCGATAACGGAGACCTTCGTGCGGCGGGAGGAGGGGGACGGCGGTGCGGCCGATGGGAGAGGTCGGAAGATCAAGCGGGAGGCATCGGCGGCGAGGCCGAGTTCCGATAGTGACGAAGTCTTCTTCATCGTTGAGATTTGATTGTTCTCCCTCTCGCGCTCTGTTCGGGTTGCCGTATTGGGGGATGTGGGGGTTTGGAATTAGGGTTTGGAAGGAGGGATTGAAATAGGGATCTGCCATGGCAACAAGGAAAGGGAAAATTCCGCGTTTTTTGTTTTTCTTCTTTAATTTTAAAGTCAAAATATCTAGAAATTTTGAATTTTGGACCGGACTTTTTTCTCTCTAGAGAAAATATGTGGCAGAAATTTTGGAAAAATCCACAAGATCTAGTTCTTGCAAGTAAAAATGATCTTTTGGTGTTAGATATATAGAGACGGTAAAGGGAGATTTTTATGCATATCACTCAACTCCTATGTATTTATATATAAATTCACTTTAATTTGTATCTGCATATCGCCTTACTTTGCAGTAAAAGGCGAGTCGCAATGTAGAAGTTAAATTTGTGGTATTTTTGTGTATATGAAATAATTGGGAGGAATAAATATAAAAAATAAAATAGAGGTGTTAAATATGAAAATTCATTGAAATTGAATAGTGTGTATGTAAATGTCTAGAATTTTAAATAACTTTGTAAAAATTTTATCAACAAACCAAATTGTTGGTCAAACACAAGTCAAATATGATCATGGGAAAAACATTGGTGCGTGTTAGAGAATTTGCGATGGGATTAATGATTTATCGTCTTAGCATTGTATGAGAATTCATAACACACTCAGATAAAAGAAAGCAATTAAAAGAGACATCAGAAGTTTTTACGTGGAAAATTAGGAAAAAAAATAAATTACAAGGTCAGTCCTAGTTAAAATAGTTCACTACACACACTCAGATAAAAGAAAGCAATTAATAGAGACATCAAAAGTTTTTACGTGGAAAATTAGGAAAAAAAATAATTACAAGGTCAGTCCTAGTTAAAATAGTTCACTATAAATTGATGATTATATTACACAAGTTATTAAGGTATATTGTACGTTGTACAATGGTTGGGAGTGGCTAAAGTTGGGAATAGGTAGTGAAACTAATATATTGTCCTCAAGGCACGTTGTTGCACGGTGTACTCGACAATATATATCTCTGTCGGCAGCTTCATTATTCTGCAACGCACGTTGTGATTCTGCGGCTTACGTTGTGATCCAAGAGATTTCGCCGAGCCGAGTAGGTGGCGACCGATGGTAGTCGATGGTGGCCAGAGCGCGGTGATCAACGGTGGCTGACGACTACAGAAGCAAAAGGAGTTCGTCGGATCTTTGTTGTAGAAACGGTGTTGGACTTCAAGTCATTCTTCTTCTAGCGCTGGTCTTCCTCTTACTTAGGATTTAGGCCCCCTTTTAGGACGGAGGCAGGACTCAATTTATAGAGCCCATGTCATAAAAAAGGAAATAATCCAAACCATTTTGATCGAACGTCTTAAGGAGGTTCCCTCAACCAAACTATATTTTGTGGACTTTTAAGTGTCTTAATGTTGTTAGAATTGAGTCATTTTATGCTTATTGGATTTGTCTTGTCGAGGCACTTAATTTGACTATAAGAATGTCATATTTAAAATCTATTTGACTTTCCAACTATGCACTGAAAGCTATTAAAAGTTGTTTGACAACTTTATATGTGCTTGATTTTACTCGGATTCGACCAATTTTGGTATCATTGTACCTGTCTCGTTGATCCAGTCATTTTGACTGTAAGTTTGCTGAAATTAAAGTTCTATATAATTTTTTATCAAAGTTTGAGCATTATGAGAGTATAATATACCCATATATAATGGAAAATTGAGGTTAGCTCAGTTGGGAGGGTGCTTTCTTCTCCTTGCACGTTGTCGTGGGATCAAATTCCTCTCTTCCCATTTATTAGGCATTTTTATGCTCGTTGGGTTAGTCAGGCTCAATTTGAGCTACCGGGCTCACGTGGTTAGCTCGTTCGGGACTTTGTGGGCCCTAGTACGAAATTGGCTATAGAGTCCGACATGAGTAGTTCAGCGATCCGGGTCACAAGGTTGGAAATTGATCCGAAAGGCTCATAGATTTGGCCAGTTGAACCCTGTGCATTGTTCTTATAGGGCACCGACACACATCCCCTGATGCCCTGCTATGTCAATGATATGAGGTAGCTCGAGTTGTGTGACTTAGATTTAGCGACATAGTACAGGTGGTGGATCCAGTTGTTGGTTCAGGCGATGGGATCCATGGCCCAAATGAGGCAGTTTGGATGATGTGGTGGATCCAAGGGCCCATAGTAAACTGAAAATAAGGTAAATTATGAATGCAAAATAAGTAAGATATAGGCTCAAAATAAGTCAGATTTAGGCGCCTTCGAATCTTTAAAAGAGGTCTAAGGGGAGTAGAATTTCATGGAGGTGAAGATGGAGACACAAGAAGAGTATGAGGGTAGAGAAAGAGAAAATCAAAGAAGAGGAAAAAAGAAAAAGAAGAAAGACCAACCCAAGGAGGAACAAGTAGGAACAAGGAGGCAAAGTCCCCTTACTTGTTAGCTTGCGGCCAACTAGATCTTTAGGTAAAAAATTGTAACCTCCAGCCTATTAGAAGGTGATCAACGGGATCTTCTTTAGTGTTGTTTTTGCACTTTCAAGAGAAAAAAGATGTCTCTGACCTGCTTGCAAGTGATCAATGGGATCTCCTTTTACATTGCTATTATGCTTTTCAGAAGAAGAAGGATGATTCCACCGAATTTCTAGCAGGTGACCAAAGGGGTCTCTAAAAAGAAAAGGTGTCTCCTAGCGTGCTTGCAGGTGATCAACGGGATCTATTTTTGTGTTGTCGGTGTGCACTCAAGAAGGGATTTCCTGTTCTTTTACTACACTTTAAGTAGGATATTTACTATGGTGTAGTGGTGATTTTTAGATGAGTTTTATTTTTTGTTATTGAGACACGAAAATTTAGGGAATAACGCCTTGCTACAAACCAGAGGAAGTGTTGAAACCCTAAAGAGGCGGTGTCGAATCTGATAGAAGGTTGACCTAACTCTTTTTTGGAAGAAGTATTATTCTTGAATGAGATTATGGTGAAGCTACCAGCCAGAACTGATTGAACATATTCTCCTCTTCTCAGATATGTTGTCATTCACGGGGTGACTTTATAAGCCAATTAACAATTTTTGTCGGTGCCCTACTTGATGGACATCCTAAAGGCAATCATAATTTGAATTTCACAACTCTTTTATCAAGAAAAGACAATCATCATCAGTTTGATTATCTTTTTTTAGAAAATGTAGGTTAAACTTAACATTAGAGATTTTAGCCCGAATTCGCGGATTTGTTAGCTATGCACATGGTCGTGTATTATTCAAGAGCAAGATGTTGGATTTTCACTTAAAGGATCAAATGAGACAGCAGACCATAATATTTTTCTTTATATTTATATGGAATGATTAGGGATTTCACAAGATATTAGGGAAGTTTCAGCAGTTGTCTGTCTCCCTTTACCACTGTGGACAAAATAATACATATGCTAAAATTTTTGGGACCTCAAGGAGATGAAATTCAAGGTGCAATAAGTTTACAACTATATGAGTGAGGAATCTCTATTTGGGGCTGGACTCTCTTTCCACCCCAAGCAATCTTCTGTAGTGATGTTAAAGAAATCTAAGAAGAGGTCCCCTGAGTTGGCTCCTTTGGCACCTCCATAGCGGCTCCTATTGAGTGGTAACTGTGAGATAATTCATTAGAAGTAGCATGAGAAGAGAAAAAAATGAAGAAGCCTTTAAAAATTCCTTCCAAGATTCAAATCTCAAAGAACGTGTTTGCTCATGAACGCATATGGTTCTATAAGATTGAAAACTTTGTGAGTTTTTATTATACTTCATTATTGGTCAATTATTTTTTTTTTTTGATACTAAACCATTTTTCAGATGGAAAAGGTGACGTAACTCTTGATGGTGCTTAACCTTGCTCTTATAGATTGGAACTTCGAGTTTGTCAAGATCAAGTTGCTTTAGGGTGATTATAAGCACCAACATGATTCCATAGTTGAAGAAGTCACAACCTTATAATCTTAGCTAATGGAGTGCGGGACAAAGCTATTTACGATGGTGAATTTCATCTCACTACAATGTCAGGACCCGAAGAGCACATGAGAGCCATTGTTGGAGACGCAACCAGACCTTAAACAGATTAATAAGTGCATGAAGGCTTTGCTGCGAAGATTTTAGCCCTAGAGAATGAGATTTAAGATTAAGATTTGAGAAAGAAGTTAACGTTGTCGGGGTTGATCAAAGAGCAGTCAAGAAATTCAATAACTTGATTGAATTCAAGACCATCATTCAGGATCATCTTTAAGAGGCTCACAACAAGGAACCTGATATTGAGATGAAAGAGTAGCTGAGATGGTTCATCGTGGAAGCTTCATTTTAGGCTTCATGAAGGGGAGTCATGCAGTAAAGTGTCAGGCTAGAGTTTTGGGGAAAAGCACACCCCAGCCAGGCTTCAGAAGACCCTCATTCAAATTCTGATGGTGAGGATATCGGAGCGAGCTGAAGAAGGCTAGTGGGGGATTTTTGTGTATCTCCACACATCCAGAACGTTTGGAAGAGTTCTATCCAGATGACTAGGCATGACATTTTGAAGAATAATATACTTTCCCAAAGGAAGAAAACTTACCTTAAAAATAGATTGGGCCAACCGAATCCTGAAAGTCTTCATCAGTCTATGGGTAAAGATATTTTCCCTTATCTTATGAGTATAAGATAAGATTTATTTTAATTTTGAATTCTAATTCCCTATAAGGGGAAACACTCATAGTTAATTACATTTTTAGAAATGTGAGCTCTAAGGAAAATTGTTTATTAATGTAATGTTTTAAATCATCATAGGTCAAACTTTCATGGTTGAAGTGGTTAAAGATTAGTACAGGATCCACATTGGAAGAATTAAGCTCAAAGAAATAGGACCTATGTCCAATGACAATGTGCCATGGAAAGGCCTGAATGAAGGGATTGACTGTTGATCCTGATTTACAGACTGCTTATGTGCACAGTATAACAAATGTCTTTGATAATATTTTTCACTTTTGTTTTCTTACTTTGCAACATAACCAAAAACTTGATCCTTGAAAAAATAAGAATTTAACTTTTTAATTTATGTAAATTTATATTAGGATAATACGCAACTATACGTATCGTTATTAAGTAATATAGAAGTTTTTGATTAAGACCTGAATATCAAACCCATAGAAAAAATACGCAATATGCACAAACTTTCTATTTTTTTGAAAAGACAATTACTTAA